ACTTTGACGGTAATTAGCTTCTGTACTTTTTTTTTTTTTGAAAAACCAATCCGCCGATTGTATTAATTAATGAAAGCTATAATAGCGTCAGGAGGGATAGACTTCCAATACATAGAATGTTCCTGAGTAAAAGCTAACGAAGCTAAAGTATGAGCATGTAAATTAATCTGTCTAGGCACATAGCTTAACGAAATTAAATTAAATAAAGACATCATTGTCTTGCACTGGTCAATTACCAACCCAGCATACGAGTGAATGGTTGTAGTCTGGTGATGTATGGTATTTCGCAGCACCATACAATCCGTGAGCAGATTGGCCGAATTGATATTTCTTTCAACTAACCAGGAGAGCGCCTCTTTAAAAGCCATAGCCTCCGCCATGAGTGGTGAGAAACAAACGGGTGATCTGCCATTCTTTGCTGCCACAAACGAGCCTCCAGGCTCTAATAACAAAATTCCATACGTAGCCTCCCCTGTTTCCTGCCGATACCCTGCATCTATATAACATCGCATATGATTGTCGGGCAATACCGGTTCGGATTGTGGCTGTACATCTTCTCGCATGGGCCGGCCATGCACTGCACCATAAGCTTTCAGTAGTGTTGTCGCCCCCCTCACAACAGCCTGCGGCCGTGACATGGCCCCTTCCCACACGGCCGTATTGCGGCTTCTCCAAATATTGTATAGAATTCCCACCAAGAGCTGTGTCTGTTCCTCCGTTAGTATCGTCATAGCCCCAGTTAGCCATGCTGCAAACGAATCTGTAATAATATTCGTGACGGGTAATTGTGTTATATTCCAAACTAATACAGAATATTCACAATAAACTAATGCATGCAACACATCTTCATTATTAAATCTGCACATAGGACATGCCAGGTCAATCTCCACCCTCTTATTAATTAAATTTGTGGTAGTGGGTAAAATATCACATACTGCTCTCCATAAAAATGTCTTCCACTTTGGTGGTACTTTCAATTTCCACATCTTAACCCATTTATCAAAATCACCTGGGTTATTCTCATAATCACCAACAATACGCCTGTAAGCATTTTTTACTGAATAAATTCCTTTTGGATCACCCATCCAGTACCATGAGTCATCATAATCAGGGCTAACAGGGATCATAACTATTCTGCTCACATCCTCAGGGATAAATAAATCGGATAAAATATGTGGATCCCAAGTTCGTGTTTGTGGATCAATCAAACCTACTACTCGTGCCTCTCTTAACTCTTCAGGCATAATTGTTTGTACCAAGGGACTTGGATTATCCTGGAGCCATGGGTGTCCCCAAATCAGAGTTGTCTCACCATTTCCAATCCTGCGTCTTATCCCGGCCACCACTATTGGAAGTGCTGCCATTATACTTCTCCAACAAAAACTTGGGCAATTACCAATAGAAGCATCAACTAAACTAGAAGTGGGGTAATACCTGGCTTTATATACTCTTGCCACCAGAGACTCTGGGTTTGTCAAAAAACGCCATGCCTGCTTACCCAGCATAGCTAAATTAAAAGCTCTCAATTCCTTGAAACCCAAACCACCAAACTTCTTGGGGATACATAATTTATCCCATGCCTTCCAGTGAATCCCCCTACTTCTACCACTTCCCCACCAATATCTATTCATGGTTCTCTCAATAGATTGGCAAACTGTTTCAGGCAACAAAAACACACTCATTGAAAAAGTTGGCATAGATTGAGCCACACTTTTCAATAAAACCTCCTTACCAGCCTGAGACAATAACTTTGTGCTCCACGATCCAATCCTCTGCCTGATTTTTCCTTCAACATAAGAAAAAACTGCTCTTTTATTTCTGCCCACAAACGATGGAAGGCCCAGATATTTCCCAAAATTATCAGCCTGCACTACCGCAAGACAATTTGCCACCTGCATTCTGACCATGTGGTGGGTATTTCGGCTAAAACATATATTTGACTTGTTATAATTCACCACCTGTCCAGATAAATTCTCATACCTCATCAAACATTCTTTAATCACAGTAGCCTCCTGAATATTTGCTTTAAAGAAAAGCAGGCTGTCGTCGGCAAAAAATAAATGAGATACCGGGGGAGCACCCCTGGCCACTCTACATCCATGTATAGATCCTGCCATCTGTTCCTTCTGCAACAACATCGAAAGTGCCTCAGCACAGATAATGAATAAATAAGGGGAAAGAGGATCTCCCTGCCTGAGTCCACGTGTCGGCTTGACCCGTCCCCCCACCTCCCCATTCACCATTACAGTATAGCTCACTGTTGTCACACACAACATTATTAGATTAACCCATTTATCACTAAAACCCAGCACCTTCAACATTCTTTCCAGAAAACTCCATTCCATTCTATCGTATGCTTTTGACATGTCCAACTTCAGTGCACTCCAGCCCACTACACCGCACTGCTTCCTGTTCAAGTAGTGACCCACCTCAGCTGCCACCAAGATATTATCTGTAATTAACCTGCCAGGAATAAACGCACTCTGGGATTCCGAGATGATATCTCCCATTAAAGCTTTCATTCTGTTTGCCAACACTTTTGCCATTATCCTATATATAACATTGCTTAATGCAATCGGTCTCAAATCTGCAACAGACTCCGGGACCTCTTTTTTAGGGATCAACACTATGTTAGTATCGTTTAGTCCTTCAGGAAATACCCCAGAGTTCAAAGCATGCAATATAAACCCAGACACATCATCCCCCACAACAGACCAAAAGTGCTGATAGAAACCCGGATTCATTCCATCCGGGCCTGGTGCTTTATCTGGGAACATAGAAAAAAGTGCTGTTTTTACCTCTTCTTTCGAAAAAGGCTGATCCAGCATCTCATTATTCTCATTCGACACACGAGGGGCAAAATCATTAAAGAGGGGATCATCACAGCTCAAATTATTCGTAGTAAATATGCTCTTAAAATAATCCAGAATCACCGAATGCATATCTGTATCCTCCACCCAATCCCCACCCTCATTCTTAATACTAGCAATAAAATTCTTCTTTTTACGAGCAGAAGCATACCTGTGGTAGAACTTGGTGTTTGCATCTGCACCCCGGAGCCAGTGTTGTTTCGCACGCTGCCTCCAAAATACATCCTCCTGGGCCTCCAATTGCTTTAACTGATTCTCATTCTGTTGGAATTCGGCCAATGCGACCGGATTCGTCACATCACAGAACTTCTCTTGCTGCTTCCGCAACTGCCCTATTCGGTGACCAAACTTATGAAATTGGTCACCCCCCCATCGCATCAATTTCATACCACAATGCTGCTGACAGTGCAACAAGCCCTCCGGCCTCCCCTCTTGCCATGCTGTCTCCACCACCTCCTTGCACCCCTCATCCAATAACCATGCATTCTCAAATCTAAACCTCCTCGGTCCTCTTACCCTACGCATACTGAGAGCATTTATATTGAGGAAAAGAGCCGAGTGATCTGATTCTCTAGTCTGCAAATTCTCCACCCATGCATTCTCATTCATACCACCCCACTCCTCCGTAATAAGCACCTTATCAAGCCTCTCTTGTATCCAATTCACCGTGCCTTTACTTTTATCCCATGTAAACTGGCGGCCCCTCATCGGCATCTGCACCAAACCACACACATCAATGGTTTCCCCAAACCCTCGCAAGAGGCGATTCGGGTATGGATTTCCCCCCCTCTTTTCATGTTGATAGAGAAGATTATTAAAATCCCCTATCACCACCCAGGGTAACTCAGATCTACCCCTCAACATTCTCAGCAGCTCCCAGGTTTCCTCTCTGTCATTTCGATCCGGACATCCATATAAACATGTCATACGCCATAACTTGCCACTCATAGTAACCTTTGTGCGAGAAACCCAACAATCTTGCCGTATTGTTATTCTTCCAAAGGAGTGCCATACCCCCACTCCGACCTTCATTATTCACATAAAACAAACCCTCATAACCAAGCCTGACACGGACTCTCTCCGCATGACACCGTGCCACCTTGGTTTCCATCAAAAACACAAACTCTGGCTTCTTACGGGACACCAGGTCCACTACTTCTCGAACTGTGCGTGGATTGCCCAAGCCACGACAGTTCCAGCTTATCGTACTCATGATGATGGGCGGGGCTGGACACCAGCTCCCGCCATGGACAAGTTTTTTGAAACATCAGTGCTTGTTACCTCACCATTCCCCCCATCCTCACCAGTCTCCGTCCCATGCCTACGACGCTTTGCCGTAGCCACCACCACCCCATCCTCAGACATACTCGTAGGTGTGACTCCCCCACCTCCCGACCCCCGTTAACTGTCTCAATCATTCGTGGCTTTACCAATGGACGAGGTTTCCCGCCTACCGGCACAAGCCAGCTATCCCCAACCGCTCTAGGAGCGCTCCAGGACCCACCAGCTCGCATATCCGGACCGTACAGGTACCTTTCCACTGGAATTCCCGCCTCCCTAGCTTGTAAGCAGAAAGTATGCAAGTGTCCCATATACCCACAAAAGTAGCAAAACTTATGCAGCCGTTCATACCTGAAATTAACCCAGGTGGTAGTCCGGTCTCTTTTCATCAACCTCATCCTTCTCCTAAGCGGCCTATCCACCGGAATTGAGACCCGAATGCGATGGAAAGTTAACCAAGGCGCCCCTTCAAACCTCTCATCATGCTTAACAAAAGAGCCCAAAAAATTCCCCGCCTGCTCCAGAATTGCATGAGACGTGTACCCTTTCGGCATATCATGCAGCTGTACCCACATATCAATCATATCCAGCTCCACATCCACCGGATTCACCCCGTCCAACACCTCCCGACACACAAGTGCATTATTCTCAAAAGCCCAGGGTCCCCCATTCAGAACATAGTCCATATCTGTTTTATGGAAAAAAACAAACAAAAACAAACCCCTTTGAATCTCCGTTACCTGTACCCCACGCACCGGCTGCCAAACTGACGCTAACACCTGCCTCATAAAATCCAATTTTATCAATTTTTGCGTCAAAAACCACCCAACAACCCTCCATGTTTCCTCCTCACCTTCCCCGCCATCCTCTACATCGATACCCTCCCCTTCCGGCATAAACACCGCACCCTCCTCCTCCATCAGTGCCCAATCCGCCCACCTATCCGTTAACCCCGCAACATCCACCACCCCCACCCCCGGCTGCCGTACTGCCGCCCCCTCCCCCCTCCCTCGCTGCCTACCCATCCCCCTTCCACCTAAACTGCCTACATCATCGCCCTCCCCCCTACCAATTTCTCCAACCAACACATGATGCCTACCACGCCCACCGCCCTCCCCTCTTCCAATTTCTTCATCCAAAGCATGCTGCCTACCACGTCCACCGCCCTCCCCTCTACCAACCTCTCCAATTAATGCTTCCTGCCAACCTTGCCCACCGCCCTTACCCCCTCCTTCTCCCACCCCATGCACATTCTCCACACTATTCCTTTCGCTACAACCAATACTCCTCCCATCCGAACCAGTTCGCCACATCCCCTCCCCCGTTTGTCGCAAACCGGTTCCAGCCGACTGCCCTCCACCACTCCGCACATCCGCAGCGTACGTCTCCTCCCCACACTCAATCAACTCGTCATCCATAGCTATGTCACCGGCCATCGTCCGGACAGAAGAAAACGATCACCGTTGAAAACCTAGGGAAACCCTAGTAGAGAATGCAAAAACCCTAGAAAGAATCTAGAGAGGAAAAAACTTTTTAAAAAGTCACCTAATTTACTTAAAAGTGATTCTATTAGCTTCTGTACTTGTGTAAGCAATAACCAAATGATTGACATTAGACGGGGTGGTAAGTATTTATTATGTATATACGATACTTATTCCTAGCAAAGGGTATATGTTTTAGAATATTTCAAATAAGAAATTTTTTTTTTCCAGAATTTATTTGAATACTGGCCTCTTTAATTAAGATGTAATAAATTATTTGATCTTTCTTATTATGAGTTTACAATCATGCCAAGCTTGTCTATATTGTAATTAACTTATCCTCTACTTAGTAGAAATAGGCGGAATAACAAGGGTTATCTTGTGAAAAACCTGAGATGTGAAGCTGGTTTTGTGATGTTAAATTGCTCTTCATTGTACTAAAAGTGATAGTGCAATCCGAGTCTTAGGAGAAGAGTAGAATAGGTTGGATTTAGCCGAACCACTATATATATATGAAGATCTGATCTCTCTCACTGTTTTTTACTTACCAACATTATTTTATTTTCAAGAACTAAACAACATAAACTAAATTTAAACCGAACAAAACTCGTGCCTAAGGGTTAAAATATTTCCGCTACGTTATAAACGTTACAAACTCTTATTTTACTTTGTGTTCAAGTTCACTTGAACTCATTATTGTTTCCAAAAAGTTCTAAAAATCTAACAAGTCTATTCACCACCTCTAGACTTGTTCCCAAAACCCTCGGGACCAACCTGCCTTGCATTGCGGTTGTTTCAACAAAGTTTATTAATTGCACACCATTCTATAGATTATGCTTGTAAACCTTCAATTTGCTGCTTGAAAAAGTCTACTACAAGTAAATCCCTCATCGTTGAGAAGCTTTCTTGCTGCTATTTGAGAAGTTCTATTGCTTATCTAGGTATACTGCAATATATATATATATATATATATATATATATATATATATATATATATATATATGATATATGATATATATATATATGATCTCTACTAGTTGATGTTGTTAGATGAAATATGCCACATGCAATTTATAATATGTGACAACAGGATGGTACTAACTTCCCGCCATAGTTCTTGTGTTGATAATGGTTGAATGATCCGGACTGCTGCATAGATAACACGAGTATTTTGTCTCTCACTTCTACTCAGCTCTCTCTAGATGGTGTATGAAGTATGTAGTGTGAGCAGTGAGAGAACTAGTGACCTTATATAACCACTGGCCATCATTGTGGTTGTATGTCTTTAGGTATCCTAAAGACTCCTAATCATAATGGTAGTCTAGCTATTAAGTTATTAGTGTTACACCACATATCAAATTAAATACTTAATATTATTATAACTTATCCTAATGTTATAATAATAACTTATAGGAAAATGTTACAGTCTCCCACTTAGTGCAAACACTATAACCCAAGAACAGGAAAACACCAACCATAGTGATATGTTCTCATTAGTACGAGTAGTATCCATTATGATCAAATGCAAACTGTCCTTGAGCACTTAATTAGGAAACAAAACTTAATGAAACAAACCTTATGTTTATTTCAAGTCCAACTTAAGTACATTTTCTCAGTAATATAAAGTAAATGAAGGTGTACACACTTAATTGAGAAAAAAAATGTCTGAATGCAAAAGAATTTTTATTGAAACTGAATGTATATACAAATTACAAAGTGGACGAAAGTCCCATGCATTTTCTGAACCAGATCCTTGAATTTAAATGGTGGCATGCCTTTAGTCAAGGGATCTGCTAACATCAACTCAGTATTGATGTGTTCAATGAATACAACTTTATTTTGACACGCTCCCTTATAGCTAAGAACTTGATGTCGATGTTCTTAGTTCGACTCCCACTTTTGTCGTTCTTAGCTAGGAAGACTGCAGCTGAGTTGTCACATTAGACTTTCAATGGCTTAGATATAGAGTCCAAAATTCTAAGCCCATAGATGAAATTCTTTAGTCAAACACCATGTGAAGTAGCCTCGAAACAGGAAACGAACTCGGCTTCCATGGTAGAAGTAGCTATTAAGGACTGTTTAACACTTCTACATGAGATAGCCCCACCAGCCATAATAAAGACGTACCCTGAAGTTGAGTTTCGAGAATCAATACAGCCAGCAAAGTCCGCATCAGAATAACCGACAACATCCAAATTGTCCGTCTGCCTAAACCCAAGCTTGTAATTTTTGGTTCTTTTTAGATACCTTAGAACCCTCTTCATAGATCCCCAATGGTCTAACCCTGGACTGTGCAAGTAACATCCTAGCATTCCGACCACAAAAGCAATATCCGGCCTTGTATAGATGATGTTATCACATCTGTGCTTGTTTATATAGTTGTTTTAAATCATCTCGGTAATTAAGTTCTTTATTTTTGCTTATTTAATACATGTTTTCCTTGCTATTCTCATTAGGATATGGTTTTACACTCGTTTTGAATGTTTTATGGTGTTTGTTAGTGTTTTTGAACCATTGTAGGTCAAAGTTATGAGCAAGGGAAGTCCTAGGACAAAATTGGAGTCAAAAGTGGATCAAAAGACCGAAGAGTTGTAATTCCCGTTGAATTCGGCGACAGCTTAGTATTTTGATCATATCTCATGCTAGGAATGTCCGATTCAGGTGATTCTTGCGTCACTGAAAAGAAGACTCGAAGGGCTACAACCTATGACTCAGCAGAAAACTCGACGCGTTGAGCCTGGGGCTCGACACGTCGAAAAATTCCAGTAACATTTCATCTCGCACAGATTGGCGACAGTTTAGTATTTTGATCATATCTCAAGCTAGGAATGTCCGATTGAAGTGATTATTGCGCCATTGGAAAGAAGACTCAAAGGGCTACAACTCTTATGAAGACATCAAAGTCTTGATAATAAGAGAAAAGGGTCAAAATAAGCTTGCAAAAAGTACCTATTGCACTGGGTGTGATAATATTGTTTGATGCTTGTAATTAATGGCCATAGTTACTAGCTTCATAGCCATGTTTGTGTCACCAATGGGTGTTGAGGCATCAATTAGGGAACATACAATTGCACCTAATGGTTGGACCTTGGGAAATGGGAACTTATTAGGGGAAGTTTATTCTAGATTGTTGCGCATCGGGAGATGGTAGTAATTAGGAATAATTGAATGCTGATCTTCGATCTTATCGGGTGTTTAAGCCACGGGAGTGGAAATTCACTAGGGGTAGAAATTACGGGAGTAATTTGATTTCACCTTGCATTCCCACACAAATCTTAATTCCAAACTAAATATTACAAACGTTAATTGGCACTAGGTGATTAAATACTTGAATCCCATGAATCTCATCTTTTCTCTTATTGTTTTCAAAATCCTGAACCTCTGTTTTATTTTATTTATTTTATGCCAATCAATCATCTAAGTAATTGTTAGGATTAGCTCTAATGAATAAGTTAGTAACTAGTGCTTGATACACCCACTTTCCTGTGGATCGATAACTCGTACTCCGAGAATTATTTGTTTGCAAATATACTACGAATCAAATTGGCGCCGTTGCCGGGGGAGTGGCGTTTCTAGTATTAACATTAGTGAAATCTTTATTCTAGGAGACTAGTCCATTTTTATTTTTTATTTTATTTTATTTTGCTAACCAATAACAAGTTCCTTGTTTTGAGTGTGATTTAGTTTATGGATAGATATGAATTCCAAGGAACCATGCCACCGTTTCACCCTCCTTCTCAAGGTTATGAGATGAGTTGGAATATGAATCGAGAATATGGAGGAATGGAACAACAATTCCCTTTTTCAAATTTCACCAACTCAAGTCAAGGATATTTTCAAGAAAGTTCATATCAAACATTACAACCCCAATGGTGCTCATTTTGTGGTGGGAATCACTTTGTGGAAAATTGTTACATGCTCAACCCCACCAACCATATCCCTCAACAACCTACTCAAGGATTTTGTGCCAACATGAGTCAAGCCACTTATCAAAGATGCACACCACCTACTCCACAACCCTCATGGTGCATGATATGTGGTGGACCTCATGAGGCGGAAAATTGCTTTATCATGGATCCCAATTACAAGTATCAAGGACTCAAGAGTTGCCGTACCAAGAGTTTCAACAAGATTGTCAATCACTTGACCGAATAATTGAGATGAAGTCCAAAGAGACCAAGTTAATGCAATTGTACTCGAAATATCTGGAGCTACAAGATCACATGAATGCTCAACTTGATCACATGATGGCTCGACAGAAATATTTGATAATTCGAGAGCCACTTCAAGATTCATCTAATGGAGAGGTTCTAGAAGAGTTTCTCTTGCCAAATGAAGGTCATGAGGTTCAGAGAAATAAAAAGGATGATGAGGATCTTAGAAAGGAAGATGAAGAAATATTTTATGAATGCATTGAGATGGAGACACCAAGTTGGGAGGAAAATGTAGAGTTGCAAGGTAATAGTAGCAAGGAACATATAGAGAGTTGCCCATTAGATGAGGAAGTTTTTAATGGAGCACATGTTTTGAATGAATATGGCTCACCAATGGAGCACACTCCCCTTGGAGAGAAATTTAGAGAAATTTTGAATTTGGAAGGCATTGGAGTTCTTAAGGATGATGGCACACATTTGCCTATCTATATATCCAATGATTCCCAATACTTGCTGGTTCATGTGGATGATCCGAGACTCTCATTACTTGTTGAACAAGAGAGTGTTGAAAAAGAAGGAAAAGAGAATGGATGCATAATTATTTATTCGGGCGAATGTGGTTCCTTACATGATGACGTGAAGGGTTCGAGCTTAAGAGAGTTTATAAATGGACATCACTTGAAGAAATACTTGGAAGAGAAAGTTGATGGAAAGAAGGGGATTTTTCTTCTCCAATCACTTGATGGCTAGAGAGGTAACGTCGAGCTAACGACGTTAAACTTAGCGCTTCATGGGAGGCACCCCATGTTATCTTTTATTACTTTCCCTATTTATTTATTGCTTTCTAGTTTCGTCTTATTTAGTTTTATTGCTTTCTAGTTCGTGATTATTTTATTGCTTCTTAGATTTCTCTTTTCTCTTGTTCTCCTTTTCTTTTATTTTGCATCAGGGACGATGCAAATTTTTAAGTGTGAGGGCGAGGAGTCATTAATTTGGGGATATTTCTAAAATTTTAAAATTATTTGCTTTTGCTTGAATGACTCATATGCTATTTTTGGTGAATAGTTACTTGTCTTAGCATGCAATTGCAATTACTCTCTCTTGTTGGTTTGTGGTTTGTTTTAGTGGTGCTTGCTGCATCTCAATTTGTGATGGATGATTTGAGGTGTAACACCTAATTGATCTATTCCCTTGCCAATAGCTTTGTTAACCACTTAATAATTGGATTAATTCTTGATCTTGTGTGTTACGCATTGCTAGTGAAAGCTTATGTGAGATTCCGGTCATGGGTGTTTTGCTAAAACTTGCCTCATTACTCCCTTAGTGATGTCTAAGTTTTGCATGTTTTGAAGTGATTTAGGCCATTTTTGTTTATCCATAGCCTTTAAACCTGTCCCTATATATATTTTTATCCTTCGTGTCCCCATTGTGCCTTTTGTTTGTTCAAATAAGTGCTAAGCACTTATCCCCTCTTTGTGATTGTTTTTCTTTGATTTATCCCATTATTATAACCCTTAGCCCTTGGCCAAATATTTCCCTTCCACCCTTTGAGAGAATGAAACTTTTATCTTTATTATTTCTGTAAGAAGAGTTCTATGGAGTTGTGCCAAAAAGCAGCTGATATTACAAATGTTCAAGTGTGAGGGAATTGAAAGATTGGATTAAAATTGTCTTGCAGTATTCAAAAGAAATCCAAAGAAAAGAATCGAAAAAAAAGAGAAAAGAAAAGAAAAGAAAAGAAGAAAGAAAGATTGAAAGGTTTTGAGTTTGGATCCTCACTTTTTATTAGAGGAAGAAGGCCAACAAGAGTAGAAAAATATTTGTTTCTTTTTCTGTTATAACTGCCATCACCCTTCTTGTATATAAAGGTGGCAGTTACCTCTTTCATGTAAGTAACTTTCATTTCCAGTATGATGTTCACATCAAAGTAACAAAGCTTTACCAGTTTTCTTCGCCTTTCCTTTTGCGATATGGTATTAAAGCTGCGTTTTAGCTCTTACGCCGCTGCACTCATTGGCACCGGCGAAGCTGATGAAGAAGATCACGTCGGAACATCAGTTAATCAGTCGCCGGCCAATCGATCGCCGGTTCCTCTTGCTCCAGAAACGATTCCGCAGTGGAATCCATATTCACAGAACCAGAGAAGCTGCAACGGAGAGGAGAATCCTCTTCTCTTCAATACGAACGACAATCCGAGTCTCATTCTGGTGAATCCTCCATTAACAGGTAGTTCTAGCTACAATTCTTGGTGTATTTCCATGAAAATTACTCTAGAAGTGAAGAACAAGTGGTGCATTATCGATGGAAGTCTATAAGCACCAAACAGGGAGGACACTCGATATCCTATGTGGAGACGATGCAACCTTATGGTTTGTTCGTGGATCTTCAAGGCGGTGGACTCTTCGATTGCGCAGAGCGTCATTCATCTGGAGAAGGCTAGCGATGTGTGGAATGATCTCAGGAGAAGATTCGCACAGTGCGATGCTCAGAGGATCTCAATTCTGCAAAATGAGATCTACAATTTGAAACAAGGTAGTTTAACTGTTAGTGAATACTACACTAGATGCAGGACAATGTGGGAAGAGATGAATGCTATGAGACCACTTCCCGCCTATCTATGCACCGGCTGCGCATGCAATCTTGCAGATAAGATCAGGAAGGAACGAGACATAGATCAGGTGATCCGCTTCCTTCAAGGTCTAAACGATGATTACAATGCATTGAAATCCAATGTGTTGATTCTAGATCCCTTGCCGGAAGTCTACAAAATTTATGTCATGGCAGAGACGGTAGAGAGGCAGATCAACATGACTAATCTACTCACAGGGAATCTTGAGATTAGTCAGGCCAATGCCATTCGAAACATTCAAACCTCCACAGAGGAAGTAGTAGTTGCTTTCAATCCTTACAATGGTAAGAAGTATATGAACAATGGAGTTAACAAGACTAAGTGCACGTTCTGTGGCTTGACTGGCCATACGATCGAAAAATGCTACAAGAAACACGGCTATCCCCCGGGATGGGTGCCGGGCTACAAATCTAAGGCTAAGCAGCAGATTACAGCACTAGTGGTGAATGGTACAAATGATTTAGGAGTTTCTGTAGATCAGTTTCAAAAATTGATGGCTGCCATTCAAAATCAGATGGGACATTTGTCAAGCTCAAGTGCCACAGCAGCTGTCTCCCTTGTTCCAAGGTTTGATCCAGATCAGAATGAAGGCAAGTTTCTTACCTCTCATATTAATTCTATTTCTCTATGCAATTCTTCATGGATTCTAGACTCCGGGGCTACGGATCACATCACTTGTTCTACTCAATTTTTTCATGAATATCGTGCTATTGAGGGGGATGAAGTGAGTCTGCCTACAGGAGAAAGAATAGCTATCAAACACAGAGGGAACATACATATTGGAGAAGGCTTATGGTTGAAAGATGCCATGCACATTCCATAATTTTGCTTTAACATAATATCCGTGAGCAAATTACTTCAAGATTCAGCTTATGATTTGGTTTTCTCATCTGAAGAGTGCCTAATCCGGGAACCTCATGGGAAGATGGTTGGTTTAGCTAAACAAGAGAGGGGTCTATACCTCATGACAAAGCCTGCAATAGTGATGAACTCTGGTTCTATTCCTAGAAATTTGGTTATGCAGTGTAATAAAGTTGAGCTTTGGCATCAACGTTTAGGGCACTACCCTATGAATAAAATGCATTTGTTAAAGGATCTACCTAGATTGATTCCTACGAATAAAGCTTGTGATGTATGCCACTTAGCTAAACACAAACGGTCCCCCTTCCCTCTAAGCAATTCTTCAACAAATGCATGTTTCGATATTGTTCATGCAGATATATGGGGACCCTTCCCAATTAATTCTCTGAAAGGTGAGCAATATTTTCTAACTCTAGTAGATGACTACTCAAGGTTCACTTGGCTTCATCTCATGAAAAGAAAATCTGAAGTCAGGGATTTAATAAAGAAGTTCCACAACTTTGTATCAACTCAGTTTGGTGTCCTAATCAAGGTTCTTCGAAGTGATAATGGACACGAGTTTGAGATGGGAAGTTTCTTTGACGACAAGGGTATTCTGCACCAGAGATCTTGCGTTAACACCCCTCAACAAAACGCAGTAGTTGAAAGGAAACATCAACATATCCTTAATGTTGCAAGATCACTTCGGTTTCAAGCAAAACTTCCTATGGAATTCTGGGGTCATTGCGTTTTACACGCTGTTTTCATGATCAATCGGCTTCCTTTTCCCTTGATTGAAGGACTGAGTCCCTATCACAGACTATATGGAAGAGATCCGGATCTTACTACACTAAGAGTATTTGGATGTCTTTGCTTTGCATCTACTTTACCACACCAAAGAAACAAGATGGAACCGAGGGGCAGAAAGTGTGTGTTTATAGGGGTCCCTGCAAATATCAAAGGTTACATGCTTTATGATTTAACTGACAAGTCTATATTTGTATCTCGTGATGTTGTGTTCTATGAAATGCAGTTCCCTTTTCTAGAACAATCCTTGAAGAATACTGTGCAGAATCCACACTTGTCTATTCCATCTTTGCCAAACATCCCTCTGAATATAGACTTGGAAATTGAAGGGCAGCCTCCAAATGATGACACTACACTAATACATGATGAACAACTTGAGCCTGGGAGTAACATTAGTGGTTACCACAATTCGGCCACCCTGCCACATGCTGAATTCCATACAAATCAGCCCCTGCATGAACCAGCAGCTAGTTCGTTACCTGACGAAGCCATTTCTCAGTCAACATGTGGTCATGAAACAAGTACAGGTGATGATTAGATACACATTGACATTCCTCTAGTCCCTCGACGATCAACTAGAGAAAGACATGTGCCAAACAAACTAGGTGATTATTATTGTGAATCAGTAGCCATACAGAGGAATTCTCCCCATGTTTTGTCTCGTGTCATCTCATATGATGGTCTCTCTCCCTTGCATAAAGCTTTTACTATGGCAGTCACTTCAGTTGCAGAACCCTGAACTTACAATCAAGCTATCCAACATCAATGTTGGAGAGATGCCATGAAAGCAGAGATATTGGCACTTCAGGAAAACAACACCTGGGAGTTGACAGAGTTACCAACTGGAAAGACACCCATAGGATGAAAATTGGTGTATAAAACCAAGTTAAGAGCAGATGGCTCCATCGAAAGACACAAGGCAAGGTTGGTGGCCAAAGGCTACACACAACAGTTGGGCATAGACTCTGTTGAAACTTTTTCCCCAGTGGCTCGTTTGACAACTATTCGAACCTTTTTGGCCGTGTCCATTTCAAGAGGTTGGACCATTCATCAAATGGATATCAATAACGCGTTTTTGCATGGTGATCTTAATGAAGAAGTATATATGGTGCTTCCCCCTGGATTTCAAACCGAGAAGCTGAATCAAGTGTGCAAATTGACAAGATCACTCTATGGCCTAAAGCAAGCGAGCCGTCAATGGAATGCCAAGTTAACAGCTACTTTATTACAAGTTGGATTCAAACAATCAAGTGCAGATCCTTCATTGTTCACAAGGGGTACTGGTACAGAATTCATTGCCCTTCTTGTCTACGTCGATGATATCTTAATGGCCAGTAGCAAACTATCTCTTATCCAGGAGCTGAAAGATTTAATGCATGCTGCCTTCAAAATCAAGGATTTGGGTGTGTTTGGTTATTTTCTGGGGATGGAAGCCACAATCAGCAGTTCTGGCCTTAACCTGTGCCAACGAAAGTATGCCCTCGAGATACTTGAAGACGCTGGTTTCCTACACTGCAAACCGGTACGCACGCCCATGACACCGGGAGTGCTTTTAACTCACACCGATGGCATACCTCTTTCTGATCCAAGCAGCTATCGGCGATTAATCGGGAGGCTATTATACCTTACAGCAACTAGACTAGACATCACGTTTGTTGTACATCACCTTAGTCAGTTTGTAAGCACACCTACTGACAAACATATGATAGCTGCTCACCGCATATTAAGATATATTAAGGGATCTCCTGGCCAGGGAGTGTTCTACCCAACCAACAACAAACTCAAGCTTCAAGCTTTCTCAGATTCCGACTGGGCATCTTGCTCAGAAACTCGCAGATCAGTCACAGGCTTTTGTGCCTTCTTAGGTACATCCCTCATCTCATGGTGCTCAAAGAAACAAGCTACGGTTTCCAAATCATCCTCTGAGGCAGAATATAGAGCCTTAGCCATGACAACATGTGAATTACAGTGGTTAAACTCCCTTCTTCAAGACATGCAAGTAACCACAACTGAGCCTATCATTATTTTCTGCGACAGTAAGTCTGCTATGGCAATTGCTGAGAACCATGTGTTCCACGAAAGGACTAAGCACATTGAGATCGATTGCCATGTCGTGAGAGAAAGGATTGTCCAGGGTTTGATTAACTGTTATCTGTGTCCTCGGTTAACCAAATAGCTGATGGCTTCACAAAACTTTTAGCTTCCTCTTTGTTTCATACTTTTGTATCTAAGCTGGGTATTCAAGACTTGCACACTCCAGCTTACGGGGGGGGAGGGGGGGGGGGGTATTAGAGGAAGAAGGCCAACAAGAGTAGAAAAATATCTGTTTCTTTTTCTGTTATAACTGTCATCACCCTTCTTGTATATAAAGGTGGCAGTTACCTCTTTCATGTAAGTAACTTTCATTTCCAGTATGATGTTCACATCAAAGTAACAAAGCTTTACCAGTTTTCTTCGCCTTTCCTTTTGCGATACTTTTCCAAAAAGTTGCTAAGTTCTTAAAAGAAATTTGCTCCTTCAAATTTTGATTATCTCATCTTTTCCAAATTTTGAAAAGTTTAGATAAATTGTGACATTCTCTCGTTTTGATTAATTTTTTTATACCACTTCTTTGTTAGCAATCACCCGTAGCCCCATTACAAGCTAAATAAAGTCCTATTTGATCTTAACTTGCATTCTTAGATTTGATCTAGGGGAGTATGGGGCAAGCTTATGGGATCTCATTCATGAACCGTGTCTTGCATAATCTCAACTGAGTACTTGTGCAAACTTGATCCTCACATACTTTAAATTCTTGGTGCTTGGTTATTGGCTTGGAAATGGGTCTCTTATGTGCCAAACTAATTTGATTCTTGAAGCTTGTTGTTTTGTAGCAAGTGGGTTGGTGGTTTGAAAGGTTGTGCAAGAGAGAGCATGAGTAATTTGTATGTTTTGACTTGTGATTTTATTCCTTGGTTTTGCTTGAGGACAAGCAAATGCTTAAGTGTGAGGGGGTGATGTTATCACATCTGTGCTTGTTTTTATAGTTGTTTTAAATCATCTCGGTAATTAAGTTCTTTAATTTTGCTTATTTAATACATGTTTTCCTTGCTATTCTCATTAGGATATGGTTTTACACTCGTTTTGAATGTTTTACGGTGTCTGTTAGTGTTTTTGAACCATTGTAGGTCAAAGTTATGAGCAAGGGAATTCCTAGGACAAAATTGGAGTCAAAAGTGGATCAAAAGACCGAAGAGTTGTAATTCCCGTTGAATTCGGCGACAGCTTAGTATTCTGATCATATCTCATGCTAGGAATGTTCAATTCAGGTGATTCTTGTGCCATTGGAAAGAAGACTCGAAGGGCTACAACCTATGACTCAGCAGAAAACTCGACGCGTCGAGCCTGGGGCTCGACACGTCGAAAAATTCCAGTAACATTTCATCTCGCACAGATTGGCGGCAGTTTAGTATTTTGATCATATCTCATGCTAGGAATGTCCGATTGAAGTGATTCTTGCGCCATTGGAAAGAAGACTCAAAGGGCTAAAACTCTTATGAAGACATTAAAGTCTAGATAATAAGAGAAAAAGGTAAAAATAAGCCTGCAAAACATACCTATTGCACTGGGTGCGATTTTTAGAAACTTCCTAATTTAAAATGGCAATATTCCAAAGCAAGATGACTACAACAATTGCCTAATCATTACAAAGCTAAACTTTCTAAGCGAGGTGTATTCAATCATGACTTTCATAGAGTTTTAAAGACTTTTATGAACTTTAAAAGTTTAGAGGTATTCAATTCAAACTTTTAGAGAGTCTTTAAAAGTCAGGAGGTATTCAATCAAGATTTTTAAAGAGTCTTTAAAAGTCGTGTGGTATTCGATTAAGACTTTTAAAGAGTCTTTAAAAGTCATGCGGTATTCAAAAAATTATGAACTTTTGTAGACTTTTTAATTTTAAGACTTTTGTAGACTTTTCCTTCTCAAATATAAATAGTTGAAATCCAACCATCAACCCCAAGATTTCAAAATTTTCTTTCTTACAACTTTGAATGTTTTCTCTCTCTCTATTAAAACTCTATTTTTTTCTCCCTATTTAAACTTTATAAACCTATCTAAATTCAATAAAATTATTTTTTTCTTCATTATCCTATATTTTCCTCATACCTAAACTCTACTAATTTCTCTCTCTCTCTCTCTCTCTCTCTCTCTCTCTCTCTCTCTCTCTCTCTCTCTCTCTCTCTCTCCTAAACTTTACAATCTTCATCTAAAAATTTGAAATAATATTATTTTTACTTCATTATTGCTTGTTTATATTGATTTTTATTTTTTCTATGAATTTTTTATCCCTAACTTTCTCTAATTTCCTCTAAATACATGAACAAAGCAAATTTTTCATTGTCAAATTTTTGTATATGTTTCATAATATTCATATAAATACTTATATATTTTGTTTTTTTTATTCTTTTTATGCTTATATTCGTAATATATATTTTCCCCTTTTTAACAACAGGTTACTATGAATAGCGAACTACTGTTATTCGCAGTCTTGTTAGAAATAGTAGCACCTTGTTGCTGTTCGCAATCTCAAATTGCTATTGAAAATAATAGTACTTTGCGTGATAGATGTCTAGCAATATATATATATATATATATATATATATATATATATATATATATATATATATATATATATATATATATATTAGATTTTTATTTTTTTTATTTTAGGGAACTTGTAATTATATTTTTAAATATTTTATTTGATCAATTCTTTTATTATAAATTTTATTGTTTAATATTGTTATGACTTTCTAATGAAATAGTTTTTTTTTTTTTTTTGTTGATGATTAATAATATATATAAGTAATTAGCATTTTTTTAAGAATAATTAATTAGCATATAAGTCTCAGCATACTAGGATAAAAATAATAATCTTGAGAATGTTGATGTTGGTGAAGAACTATATAATAAGAAGAATTTTATGATATATTATAAATGTTTTGTAAGAAAATTATAAATGATAAGAATCAAGATCATTGAAAGTTTGTAAGGATGTATTCAATTTAGAATTTCAATGACTTTTGTAGACTTTTTAAAATAAAAAGTTGATAAAAGTCTATGAATATTTTTTATATAGACTTTTATAGAGTCTTATAAAGTTTTAAAAAGTTTTAAACGACTCTATGAAAGTCAATCAAAGTTTATTAAAATCTATCATTTTAAAAGTCTTTAAAACTCTTCAAAAGTCATGATTGAATACACCCCCCTAAATTAAATTAGGAAAATTCCTATTCCTTTCTAGCTTTGTATCAACTATAAAATCCCACCTTCCTCAACCCTAATGAAGTAGTTTAGTTTAAAGTAAATAATTATAATAGATAATTTAACCAGGACTATGTGGTCTAATGGTACCCGGGTTGGACTTCCATTTGGAAGGTTATGAGTTCAAGCCTCAGTGGAGGCGTTATTGGTTCTTTGTGTTTCAGTAGGTTGAGAAAGTATATGAACAGATACTACAATGTAATAGAACCAGTAACATTCAAACATTCAAAAAAAAAAAAAACAAGATAATTTACAATTCAGAGATTCTTTGAGACATGAAAGAGAGAAGCAAGAAGAAGACTAGGGAGATTTGGGAAAATCATCTGGTTAATTCTTAGTCATGCTTGGCTAAAGATCTATGTGCCTGAGCTCTCAGTTTCTTTAATATATTATTATTTGGGTTTAATACTTGTGTTGCAATCGGAGTATTGCAATCGTGATAATATTGTTTGATGCTTGTAATTAATGGCCATAGTTACTAGCTTCATAGCCATGTTTGTGTCACCAATGGGAGTTGGGGCATAAATTAGGGCACACACAATTGCACCTAATGGTTGGAACTTGGGAAAGGGGAACTTATTAAGGGAAGTTTATTCTAGATTGCACCTAATGGTTGGAACTTGGGAAAGGGGAACTTATTAGGGGAAGTTTATTCTAGATTGTTGCGCATCAGGAGATGGTAGTAATTAGGAATAATTGAATGCTGATCTTCGATCTTATCGGGTGTTTAAGCCACGGGAGTGGAAATTCACTAGGGGTAAAAATTACGGGAGTAATTCGATTCCACCTTGCATTCCCACACAAATCTTAATTCCAAACTAAATATTACAAACGTTAATTGGCACTAGGTGATTAAATACTTGAATCCCATGAATCTCATCTTTTCTCTTATTGTTTTCAAAATCCTGAACCTCTGTTTTATTTTATTTATTTTATGACAATCAATCATCTAAGTAATTGTTAGGATTAGCTCTAATGAATAAGTTAGTAACTAGTGCTCCACAATTAAATTGCAACACTTAATACAGTTTAAACTGAAAAATATTATTAAATTAAAATTCAACTAAAAATTAAAACTGAATAATTATTCAAAGTTGAATAACAATTTAATAATGGACTTAAAAAAAAAATCAATTGGATAATTAGATTAGAAAAAGTCCAAATAAGATGAATATATTAAATTGAAGGAGCCCAAAACCAAAACAGGCCCAGATTTAATAATTTTTTTTATATATATGAGCCCAGGTCTGGCCCAAATGGCCAGACCCGGCCTAATCCTCTTAAGTCCTTCATCATCATCTTCGTTCAACAGACCTAGCGCAGCGCCGACCATGGAGGACGAAGATGCAGTGGTTGCCGGCGTTGCCTGGAGAGAGGGGAAGACAGCAACGACGGAACTGAGAGAACCCAGCTCCACCTCTGCCGCCAGCCTCGACACAACGCCAAACGCCGCCGTCGTCCGCCTCAACCGTGTTTCGAAACCAGTCCAGCCGTGACCTCTGCGTCGCCGTTGCTACATCATTGGAAAAAAAAACGCCAGCGTCGATAGTAACTGAAGGAAGAATGACCGGATTCATTTTAATGTAAATTTTCGGCGTTCTCCTCCGTCAACGATGAGCCGCCGACAACATACTCAAGACCGGCATTCCACATCCGGTAAAAACGGCGAAACAGTGGCAAACAAACGAAAAAAAAAAAAAACTAATATCCAATTGAAATTTTTTTGTTGTTTCTTAATGCGGAAAAAAACTTAATTTTTCAGCAGCCCAGACATACAATTTCAAAAAAATATTCAAATATGTATCTCAATTATACCGTGTATACAACATATTCAAATATTATATATATGCAATTAAAAGAACCAGGCAGAGA